ACACACTGTCTATTACACCGACGAGTAAATTTCCTTGTCTTTTAGGACCCTACATTAATAACAAAAAATGAGTTAAACTAGTAGAAACTTAGACAATTAAGAAATTACATCAGGTATACCATGGAGTTACAACCCCTTACAACGAAACAAACACAAGAAAGAGCAATATGGCCAAACCAGCCTACAAAAACAAAATGGTCTCTGTTTTCACTTTCTACAAAAAAAAAAAAGATCTTGACAAGTCACTTAAAATTGTGTGTGTTTGGTAAGGTGTTGTTTGTTTTTTCAGAGACAAAATGTATGTCGTGTGCAGAACACATCTGCATACCTTTGTAGAGTCGGTAGAATAAGTGGACCAAACGTATGTAGTGTGCAAGAAGAAAACTGTATGTTTTTTAACCTTTACAGACTGCTAAAATTAACTAAAACTTAAATAACCTAATTTTTTTTAAATTAAAAGAGTTTTTCAATATTGAAAATTAAATAATTCTAGTTTTATAACACAAAAAGGTACCATCAAATTCAAATTTCTTTCAATTTTAATTCATTTAAGAGATTTAATATTGGAATTATACGGACTCTTTGTCGTTGGTCAATATTTTCTATAAAAATCATCTTTTGAACTTAGCACTTTTATGAGTTTATTATAAATAGTTAACAAATCTAGATCAAATTTTATTTATTATTGTATATCGCTTTCATTTTTCATAAACAATTTTTTATTTATTTCTTTTATATGACATTATATTATGATAATATATCTGTCTAAATTACTTTTTATTTTAATGACAATATGATAATTAGGCCATTTTTTAAATAGTGTATTGTAATATAAAAAAAATGGTATGAATTAATGGATATATTTGATATTTATTGTATTTCGTAGTAGTTAAAATGAGGAAATATTACAAAAAAAAGGCACTCAAAAAAAAAGTATTAATGTTTGAAGATGTTACAAAAAAAAGGTATTCGAAAAAAATAGACATTCGAAGAAGGAGAAAAAGAGGCATTCGAAAAAAAAATGTGTTTTTAGGCTAGAAGATGTCTAGAGACTCTAGTCCACATCTGCGTCAGGAAGCGGACGTGCAAACCTTTTTAGGTATGTGGTCTTCTAAAAACCAAACAGTTTGTTAAGGCTAATGTTTGTGTCTATGGTCTACACGTCGCAGACAAAAGAGGCCAAAGAGATTTACAGACAAAAACAAACACCACCTAAGTTGCTATCACCTATTAAACTTGATTATTAATCTTGCCAGAGTTAATACTATCGGTCATAAATAACTAACTATTTTGTATGTGTTCAAAAAGTTAATTATTGTATTTTTAATATTTATAAAGATAAATAACTACAAATGTTGTTCAAAATATGTCACTTTTGATCGTGTTATAAGGCTTAAGAGTGTGGTCATATTTCATATTTCACCTTTCCCATGTCACCATAGCACCACCTCATTTTCCCCTTACTTTCTCATCACTCTTCAAAACCCAGGAAAACTCAAGTTTTACACGTATACTTGAGAAAATCTATAACTTTTTTTTGTTGGTTAAAACCACAATTTTTCAGATTACCTTCCATTTTTAACTTATTATCTGGTCATCAACCGGCGTCAACCGATTTTTTTTTTAGATAGAAGGTTTTCTGAAAACATATGGTTATTTCCTACAAAAAATGTTATGGCTTTTTCCAACCAAGTGTGTAAAACTTGAGACTTTTTTGCTATTTGTCATTCCTTTCGTGAAAAAGATTTATATACACAAATGGTATTCATATATCTATAAAAAAAAACCTATTTAATGTTTAAACATATAAATACCGTAATATAATTATAAAATACGTATTGTATGTAATTCATATGTATAAAATACGTTTTTTTACTTATTTTTTATATGTAAAAAAGGTTTTTTTTGTATAAAAAATGTATTTTTATGTATTTGTGTATGTATAAAAACCGTATTATGCATAAAAATCTTATTCGTATACCTATATTTTAGAAAACATTAAATACATACAAAAGACGATTTATATATATATATATATATATATATATATATATATATATATATATATATCAAATAGGATTTATACGTACACAAATACATAAAATACATTTTTTTTATATGTAAAATACGTTTTTTACATATAAAAATAAGTAAAATACGTATTTTCTATATATAAGTTACATACAATATGTATTTTATACTTATAGTACTATATTTAAATGTTTAAACATTAAATAAGTTTTTGTTTATAGATATAGAAATTCCATTTGCATATGTAAGTCCGTTTGACGAAAGAAACGGCAAATACCCAAAAAGTCCCAAGTTTTACCCACTTTGTTAGAAAAAACCTTAACTTTTCCTTTATGTAAAAACCATAAGTTTTTTGAAACCCTTTCATTTTTTTCAAAAAAAATAGGGATGATAGGATAATAGGTTAAAGATGGAAGGTCATCTGAAAAGTTGTGGTTTTTACTAACCAAAAAAATTTGTAGGAGTTTTTCTAACTATGCGTGTAAAGTTTTGGACTTTTATGGTATTTGTCCTTATATAAATGAGTAATAAACACAAAATTAATAAAAATAGAAGTATGTCATTAGTTAAAAATAAATATTACATAATAAAATAAGAAAACATAATTAAAAATAAAAATTACATAATAAAATAAGAAAACATATGTAAAATAACAATAATTAATATCCTACATCACTCTGAATCGTCGTCTAAATCGCCGCCTGAATTCTCGACACACAAATCAACATATCAATCATCGACCACAAACTTTATGTTAGCCCTGTGAATATGTTCCACCAAATCAACGTGATGGATGTCGCAATCATGTACTTCCCTTCGGTTTGCTCTATATTGTGGCGTACCAACAATCAAGGTTGTAGAACTCGCTACTCGGTACACGTTCGGCCGACTGCCGAGTAGTGAGTACTCAAGAGTACTCGAATTCGGTAATTCATGTAAAAATATTTTTAAGGAAATTATATATGTCAAAATCATAAGTTAAAAATCATAAGTTGATTGAAATATATAACAAAATTAGATACATGTGAATACACAAAAACTGAAAAACACACAATGGTATCACTTCGTGAATAATTACTGAAAATTTAAGATATATTTGTAGTAATAATCACACTTGTGTTTGTTAAATAATAAATCATTAAATATATTATACATATTAATCACCGACTTGGTCGAGTTTTACAACACTGCTCGCTTTAAGGGGCCGATCGAGGAGTACTCGGATTCTGTAACTTGCCTAGGTAAGCGACCGAGTAGGGAGTAGTCAGCCCAATAATCGGCCAACTCGGCGAGTTTTACAACACTGCCAACCGCTATTCCTTTGAAGACTAGCAAAATTCGTTTTTATGATAGCGGCATATCGTTTTTTCCTTCGTCTTCTAAAATCATATTATGAAATATGATGCACGTGTACATTATAATTTGCAACCTTACGACCTCTGATCATATCAAGACTTACAATACTTGCCAATGCCTTTTAAATACACCAAATGTTCACACCACGTCCTTCCTAGCTACTTCTTGATGTCTTAAACTTTTTTTTTTTTGTCGTTTAGACATGTGAACATCATGTGCCTTTTCAAAATAGATGTCGTTGAATACCGACGACTAGCCAAGAACATTAACGTCCTTATTTATTCCTACGGAACCAAATAAAAAATACAATATCCAAAGATCGTGGGACACAATTACTTCTAGAATTATTGTCGACTCTTTATGATTATTTGGCATGTGTATTGGCCACGTCATGTGTTATGACACAATGCCCACACCCAATGATTGTAATTGATTACCTAGCATTCCATGGAACCCATTATATTTGTGTATAAGACAGAAAACCATTATATTTTCAATGCTTTATGTTATTTATTTTAAAAAAAACAAAAAAATCAATTTTAACATTTACACTTTAATTACTTTTTTGCGATTTAGTCATTAAGGTTATGTTTCTTGTTCTTGAGGTTTAGTTTAGTCATGTCGATAATCTTCATAAATAAAAAATTCATCATTTTAATTTGTTGGAGAAAGCATATTGAGACAAGGAGATAGAAAGAGATATTCTTGCACAGAAAACAAAAGCTTTTATTATTAATCACTAATCAACCCACTTTACATAAGATTATTACATGTATATATAGAGAGTATACGACACATTCTTGAACCATCATAATGGTTGGCATATTCTCGAACCATCACAATGGTTGTGTAACCTTTGCAACCCTCAGAGCAATAACTACCAACTTGTAACTGCCCCATCTTTCCTTAAACGACATTTACTAAAAACTAACTCTAGCTTAATATTTCAACATTTACACTTTAATTACTTTTTTGCGATTTAGTCATTAAGGTTATGTTTCTTGTTCTTGAGGTTTAGTTTAGTCATGTCAATAATCTTCACAAATAAAAATTCATCATTTTAATTTATATACAATACAAATAGCCCTCTTCACTTAATTATTAAATAAAATCTATCCAAACATATCATACAAATAGTATACTACCTCCGTCCCATATTTATTGTCCATTTTTTACTTTCAAAGTTTTTATTTTTCAACTTTGATCTTAAATATTTTTGTGGCTTGTGATATATGTGTTCCATCAAATTTTAACAGAGATTATTGTGCATTTGCATGGGTATTTATAGGTAAAAATTGGTTTATTTTTAAAAAAATATTGGTCAAGTTACACCCTTTCTCTCTCCCTTGCCACAACATGTAGCTTAGGCTATGCCGGTTCACAATTATGCTTGGTTGGGGCGGTGGTTATGCGTAGGAGAGCACGCCAACTTGTATACCGCACAACCTTAGATAAATGGCTTCTCTGAAAAATAAAAAATAAATAAAATTGCATGTTGTCAAATAAAAACTGTAAATATTTTGACTTTTTAAACTTTTTTCTAAATAACACCATCAACTTTCATTTATCATCAAGACCTTACTCATCTCGTTGCATCTTCGCTACATGTGTAGATCGGACAAGGTACATACAGCAATGTCTATCGTGCTCGTGATCTTCGAAGTGGTAAAATAATGGCACTGAAGAAGGTCAAATTTGACAATTTTCAACCCGAGAGTGTCAAGTTCATGGCTCGAGAGATCAAAATTCTTCGAAAGCTTGATCATCCCAACGTCATGAAATTGGAAGGCATAATCACATCTCGATTATCATGTAGCATATATCTCGTTTTCGAATATATGGAACACGATCTCACCGGACTCTTATCATCTCCCGACGTCAAGTTTACCGCATCCCAGGTTCTTACTCCAATTTTCCCCATAAATTTAGGGTTTTTTACTTTCTTCACTTCAATTTAGGGTTTTTTACGTGAATTTACATTTTGTGCAGATTAAATGTTATATGATGCAGTTATTGAAAGGAATTGAACATTGCCATTCACGAGGGATTATACATCGTGACATCAAATCGTCCAATATTTTGGTCAATAATGAAGGTGTTTTGAAGATTGCAGATTTTGGTCTTGCGAATTTCTATGATTCTATGAGTAGGCAGCCATTGACAAGCCGTGTGGTGACCTTGTGGTATCGTCCTCCCGAACTTCTCTTAGGGTCAGCAAACTACGGGCCGTTTATTGATATGTGGAGCATTGGTTGTGTTTTTGGCGAACTTTTTGTTGGTAGACCAATCCTCAAGGGGAGAACCGAGGTAAGAATGATACAACAATTAAGACAACTTTTTACTGTGTTTAGCATGTACCGGATACACAAAAGTTACAAATTTGTCCTATTAACATCAATAGCAGTCTAGTTCAATGCATGTCAAATGCAGTATAAAACCAAATGAGACCTTTTTTTTAACAATTTAGTTGTTTATTTTATGAATTGGTAGGTTGAACAATTGCATAAGATATTTAAGATGTGTGGCACTCCTCCCGATGAGTATTGGACAAAAACCCGTCATCCTCTTGCAGCAATGTTTAAACCTCAATTCACTTATGAAAGCAGTCTACGCGAAAGGTGTAAAGAACTCCCAAGAACCGTAGTCGACCTTATCGATCAACTTCTTTGTGTAGAACCCGAGAAACGTGCCACTGCCAACTCCGCCCTCCAAGCCGAGGTAAGGCTTGCCGTATACCATTCTTGATTTTAAATTTACATGATGCGAGGGCAAAATGGTAATTTTATGTGGACTTAATGCGCTTTTATAAACCATGACTGTCTTAGACGACACATGTGATGAAACGCTGAAATTGGGACCAAAAAGAAAAAAAAAAAAAACAATTATGGACCACATATGGACTAAATTGTAATTTAATAATTTTCCAATTGTTGTATTTGTTGCTCATTAGATATGTTTTAATCGAGTTTCTTGGTGCTCTTCTTGTTTAGTATTTCTATACCAAACCTTACGCGTCTGATCCTGCAAGCATGCCTAAGTACCCGCCTAACAAAGAAATGGATGCAAAATCCCGTGAGACAACACGAAGGTTAGTTCTCTTTGTGTCGCTTGTGTACAAACCCGATAAAGTATTTTCTTTCTCATTATTAATAGGGTTAGGTGCAAGAAATAACAACATATTTTCATTGATTTGTTTATCATAACAATTATAGCAATGTCATCCAAATACAAAGCAATTTTCATTGTTATAATTCGTTAGATTTGTAAAATATAATGTTTTCACACGCAAACACACACAAAAAAAAAATGAAAGTACAATGCTATAACTGGATAGATGTTTTAAAGTAAAATGCCCTAATAAGATAAAAAAAAATGAAAGGTGAATGGTATAATTGGGTAGAGTTTTCAAAGTACCATGTTTTAATAAGAAAAAAAAAACAAAGTTGAAACTGCAATGTTGTAATATAAAGAAATGAAAATAGGATGCTATAATAGACAAATAAACGAAAGTACATTGTTATTTCTTGCATTAAGCCATTATTAACGTGACTTGAACAACCCTTGATTTCAGAAGAAAGTTGGCTGGGAGGGTTAGATCTTCCGGGGGGTCAAGAAACCATAGAAAAGTCCACGCAGGCGTTCCCGAGGGTCCATATCACATGAGATCACGAGAATCCGTTCGTCCAAACGCATCATACAACACCTTGTCGGAAGCATCACAGATGACCGAAACTTTACAAGACGATAGTATTTGCACACAATCGGCTCAATCTACCGCATCGGATGGTAGCTTTATGTATGCAACAAAAAGGAGAAATCTTGAAAAAAGGCATTCTATGCAAAGAATAGATTCTTTATACTCTAGTGAAGTATACAAGCCCGAGGAGTTATTATCATCCGTGAGTCATCTTTCGAAAATTTGGCATTATGTTTCCAATTGTTTTCTACAAAAAAAAAAAAAAAATTCAGCAACCCCTGAGTTGGTCCACACTGCCCTAGAAACATCATATGAGAGGTAAATAAGGTACACATTAGCCTACTAGTTGGCTAGTTGACACATGAAGCTCAATCCATATTAGAATTAAAACTCTCACAATGCATTTGTTGAGACTCGAACACTTGAATGTTTATAGGATTTAAAGTTGTTAGTTCACATGGGTATCAGATTTTGGTCGCTAATTTTCTTTAAATATGATAGGAACGTAAAGAACAAGAAAGGTTTAGACACATGGGACCAATGCTAATTCAATCGCGTAAGCAAAACGAATATTACAGTCGTGATGGTGTTCGTAGATCGCGGTTTTCTAAAGGTACAAAAATATTGGGTTTTTTATTTTATTTTTATCTTTAAGAAAAAACAGACCGAAGGGTTGATAGTAAAAAAATAAAATATAAAGAATAAAGATATTTTCATCATTTTAGCAAAACATGCGAGAGCCTTTCTGTGAAACATACTTTTATCTATATTTAATTTATCAAAGTACTATATCCTACTCTTTTATATAAATATAACCATTTGAATGTAACAAACATATCATTTTTTTTTATTTATCCAAACATCTACATAAAATTGTAAGTTAAAACACGTATGCTCTTGATTTGGTGAAATGACGTAAATGTATTGTGCTTTTTTATGATTTAGTCCTTGAACTAAATAAGATAAACAAATATATTAGCAAAATAATGATTAATTTTTTAAGGAAAAATCATATTGAAAGTTATGAGTATTTTAGTACAATTTGAACTATTTTGAACCCATACTAAGATTTTAAATTATATCTTATGTATTTGTTTTTTATGTAGAAATTAATTCTCTTGTACCCTTTTGAGTGATATATAGATTCAGACTTTTATTAATGGAAGCGTGATGCCGTTTAGATAAAGGTTGTACCTTGTGCTTGAATGATTGTAAGAGAGGAGGGTAAGACAGGAAGGCAGAGGAGAAGGGTAGAAGAGACATTTCGAATTGAAGGCAACATGGGATTGAATAGATGGAACGATGCTCCATATCTAATTATCTATGGAGTTCAATTTTGTTTGAATCTCAAACTATACCCCTTTCTTTCAATCCCTAAATGTGGGTGTTTGTATATTCTTTACAATTTCTATATCGAAAGAAAATTAAAAGAAAATTTTCCATTGCTCTATTAGTAAACTTATTAACAAAAAATATAAATTTTGGTAAAGCGTAAAAATTTATATCTACAAAAAGTAATTCATATTTTTAACAACCAAATGGTTCGTTAAAACGCTACAAAGAGCGAGAACATTTACAAGGAAATAAAACGGAAAGGGCGTTTATAGTTACTCGGTTAAATTTACAAAGCATAGAAAGGTTATATATTTGGTGAGAATATATACATATTGATATTGAGATAGAATATCAAGAATGAATACTTGGCTACACACCATTTTTTTTTGTCGAACATTTATGTTGAGTTCAATATGTATGGTTATTTGATGTTGAACCCGGTTTCGTGACATATAAATAATAGATCACATTTACATTATGAAAGCAAGACATGTGTGGCTTTAGTGAGAGGACATTGAAATTCGAATAAAAAGGTTTCATAACCAACATGTTTCCAAAACTAAATTTACCACCCTCAGTATTCATTCAGCTTTAACATTAGATCCTACAATAGTATCTTTTGGAGACCACAAGATGGGATGACCCAATATTTGGATGTAGATTTTTTAAAATGAAAATAACCACACCACTTAACTTTAACTTGGTATTAACCAAAGTTTTATTGCAAGGGATCATATTTTCCCGAACCAAAATTTCGCGAGCATATTTTTTATTGGGATAAAAACGGTTGGAATATTCGAGAGAGGAAGATTCAAAAAAAAAAGTGTAGATTCCCCGAATATTTCATTGCAAATTCGCACCACAGTTAATATCGCAACACAACTTGTCGGGTAGACACTATTATCAGAATGTTGTGTACATATACTAGTAACTAGGCAATGTCATAGGCCATGTTAATATACAAATAGGCTAGTTATCCTATTTTTGCTTTTAATAGAACCAAACGAAGCAATAAATATAGTGAACCATTGGTACCATGCTCATAAAACTCGTTTGGCAAATAATAAGAGCTTTAGGCGACATACATGATGTGGTAACTTGTCATCAAATAGCCTCTTGAAAATGACCATGAAGAAGCAAAATTTTCATGCAGATCCCATTTCTTTGATATAGCAATTCTAAGAACTGCAGATCCCATTTCTTTGATATAGCAATACTAAGAACTAGTCATATTGTAGTAGTTTCATAACCAAGCTATTATATGTCTCCATACAATGTGTTGAGTTTTGGCTAAAGAATGAATAGTCATCCCACATTGCTAGAAGGATAAAAACTTGGGAGGTCTCCAAGTTTATAAAAGAAGACCAAGACTTTTGTTTCAAAGCACCCTAACCAAAAAATACACTTGAAGTGTTTGGTTCTTTCTTTCTTCCCTTATTTTAGAGTTTTTTCTCTTGTCTTAGAGTATAGAAAGTCTTTGTTAACGCTTTGATAAAGTATGAGTATTTTTGGAGAGGCTTGAGAGATTAGTTTATGTGATTGTAACAATTCATCATATAATGGATTGTTCTCTCTGGAGGCCATGGTTTTTCTCTGTTTTTCGAGTTTTCACGTATATTCTTGTGTCCAGTTATTTTTCTCTATTATTGTTATTGGAAGGTTGTTAGGAACATTGAGAACGTTTTCCCAACACAGTCGACCCAACCCTGTCGAGATTTATCATTACACACCAAATGCACTTTCATTCTTTCCAAAGAATAGTTAAAATTAACTTTTTGACGCAGCACAAAAAGACAACTACACTAGAACACCAATGTGTTCTTGAATGGAACGTTGGAATCCACTATAGGGATAATTCTGATTTATTGAATGAATTTCAAAAACAAAAGTCATGAAAAAAAAACCCATTTAAACTCTGACGATCTAAATATATACCGGATCTTAAATCAAGAAAAAGAAACGATAACTCCTAATAAATAAATAAATAACTAGATAATATCAAAATTCAAAAAGAAACTTTCAAACACCTAAAATGGTCATCCTTATCTTCAGCAAACGAGCACTCCTTTTCCTATCCAAGCTTTCTTCAAATTCAAGGGGTACCCGTTCTACATCACTTTTAGAGCGAAAATCCACAAGCACAATGAATAACATTAACATCTAAAGGCTTAGAGCAAACTCTTGTGTATCATTTTTTATCAACACATCAAACTCATCAACCATAGATTTGTGCTAATTAGGGTCTGACAGTGCATCAATATGTGGTTTAGGAAGAGGGGATATCATGGTCGAAGTGGTAAAGCAAGCGTACTTCAGAATGGTTTTAACAATATTGTGTTGCCTTCGGGTAGTCATGTGATGGGTTTAACATGAGAGTATAAAATGGTTGAAAGAGATGTCATAACATAAGTATCAACGGTGGTGTGAAGGGTATCCGAGAAATACACATGGTGTTGATTTATGTTCGACTTTTTGTTGTTGAGATGAGTTATGTGAAAAGAAAATAACATCTAAATATGAGAATACAACAAAATTCTGTGATATAGTAGTGATGTTGGGGATGAGAAATGAGAACTTTATATGGTAGAATGTTATATAAATATGTTTCCATATATTTATGTATCAAATAAGGTCAAAATGATATAAAAAGATAACCATGAGAAATAATAGTTTATCATATTGTATAAGGTTAAAAAAATCAGTATGCCTTTCGAATTTGAGAGGATATATACGACACAAGGACAGAAGGTGGCTATATTCGTTGAAAATTTTAAGAAAGAATATATTTTTATATTCCCTAACAATATCATATTGGAAAGCTTCGATTTCTCATCGAAATTGAGTAAGAATGTATTTTCTAAATTTGATGAAAAATGGAGTTTGTGACTTATGTGTCATTGGAAAAAAGTTCATACAAAAATTTGTATAAGGGAAGTTGGTGATGTCATTCAAGCTATAGGCCATGACTTTATTTTAGCAATCACCTTTTTGTCGAGCCATTTGTAACCTAAAACGTGGCGACTCGCAGTGTGACTTGGATTTGGGTCTGACTCAGTTAAAATTTCCGATTCACTGCCTGACTCGTAGTCAACTCGTGAGTCGGATGAGTCATGCCTTATCCGGGTAATATCATGATTCAACAGGTAATCGGGTTATCCAGTGGTTAATAACTTCATCTTTTGGAGTATGGTGGGTTTTAGGAAACAAAAAATGGACATTTGAGACCAGGGCTAGGAGGGAGGGAGAGAGTGACAACGAGTTTTCTTGTTGAGATAGAGAGTTTTCTTGTTCATGTTTTTCTCTTTTTTCCATTTAATTATTTTGTTTGCTGTCTGATATGGAAAGTCAAGTCAAGAAAAGATTTTGATATCTTTTTCGTTGGGAAGCCAAAAGAGGGGAAAACTTTTTCAGCTATACAATTGGTGTTTTTTATTATTTTTTATTATTATTTTTCTTAGTTTTTTCTTGTTCTTTTATTTATGTGAGCATGAGAATTGACACAACTAAAAAATAGAAGGTTATCCACTTAAATAGTTAAACTATATTTTGTTTATACATGATGTTATATATAATATTTTGTATATAATTTTTAGAGTACTTAGTTTTTATTCTTACGAGTCGAGTAACGATTCAAAATTTAGGACTTCGAGTCATGAGTCAAGTCACGAATTGACAACTATATTAGCTAGCTTTTAAATATATTAGTTGTTGATTTAATTGTTCACTTTTCAAACGAGTATATCTAAGTTATTGATATAAATATATTGTTTTATATAAACTATTATTTTTTGTATGCTAACTTTTAAATTATTAATCCATTAATTTTTTTGTTAATATAAACATGATGTTAAATTTAAAACCATAAATAGACTTACAATATATATGCCGAAAGACTATTTTTATAGATAACCAACAAATATAACTATAATGTAAAATATAAAAATAAAATTGAAATCCAAATATCAAATTAACTAAATTTATGACAAAAATATATTTTTTATAAGTATAATTAAAGTTCCTGAAGCAATATAATTATAAACGGATTAACAATAATATTTACTTTATAGTTATATGTTATTTCTAATTATTATCTAAATATTTATAATTAAATATAGAGAAAACTGAGTTGGGGCAAAATACTAGAACAATATATATAAAAACGTGGTGCAAAAATTAATATTTTATGTAATTATAAACGGATTAACAATAATAATTACTTTATAATTATATGTTATTTCTAATTATTATCTAAATATTTATAATTAAATATAGAGGAAACTGAAAAATACTAGAACAATCTATATAAAAATGTTTTACAAAAATTAATGTTTTATGTAAAATACCTATCATGATTAAAAAAAACAAACATAACTTAAACATGATAGATAATCTTAGAGAAATTTATGAAAAAATAGACTAGTCTAATATATTAAATATTAATATCAATTTAAAATATTTGACAAACTTTTTGTAATATTAATTTGCTAGACATAACACAAATAATTTATCTAAATATTTTAGATATAAATTAAAATTTTAAAGTAAAAGATACAGAAAAAAATATCTTAGAGGTTAAAGGGTTGAATCAGTGTTGCAAAAATCAGTCTAGGCGGCCGATTAATCGGCGCCTAAACGCTTGGCGGTCTCCAACTGCCTACGAATAGGTGTTAGAGGGTTAGCTAATCGTTTTTGGTCAATATCGGTCAAAGCCGGTCCAATTCGGTCCTAATCGGACCAAATCGGACCAACTCGGCCTCAAAATAAGACCAACTCGGCTCAGCTGATACTAAAAGACCCACCAACTTAAAGGAGTCGGATAGCCCAA